TGCAGAGAAACCATTTATTTCTTTAATTGTAAAATGCTGAAAAAGAAGCTACATAGAAAGAATAATGTTATTGTACGTTTATTTACATTAACACTTAAATATTGACTGGGAATATATCCTAATTAAAATGTGTAATGAAAGATTACACATGTTTAGTTTTACATTGTGTGTTTTGTTTTTTATTGATGGTCCATAAGCCTCAAATGCAGGTTTGGATAGTGATTGCCATTCTGGACCTAGTGTATCCAAACTCAAATCGAGTTACACATTTAGTATTCCTGTATGTTTTAAACTCTTATAAAGAGCTATCAAAATAATGTTTTCAAAACATTGTTTATGAAATAATATTTTTTTCTGAAGTTTCTTTTTTTGGCAGGTAGATAAAAACTAAAAGGAATAGATAAAATAAAACCACAAGCTATAAAGCTCTTTTTCATATTTTGCATTTACATCCTATCTTATAAATAAAACTGTTCCAATAAATGTTTTGTATTTATATTTTGAATGCAGGGGTTCGTGGAATTCCTTATTTTAAAGTTATATTTTAAACAAAATTGAAAAATATAAATTTAACGGTGAACATTTTTGGTGCATTGTCAACTTCTACCTTTGGCAAGGCAATGAGTTGAAATGACTGAAACAACAATAAGTGTTGTTTCATTGAGTTTTGCACTTTAAAGGGTGACTTGTTTGGTTTGGTTTTGTTTTGGCTGTAACACAAGTACTTCTAAGAAGTGGCATACTATAAGCTAACTTTCTGAAAACGTCCTGTGTGTGTATGATACCTAGTGTATTTAAAGTAGAAGTAAATTTTCATGGAATCTTTGTTCCAGTGGAAAGAAAAATCCATTTGTACATCTTGAAGTACATGAATATTTATTTTCACACCTAAACACAAGAAATGAGTAGTTTAATCATTGTGCTTTAAATGTTTTCAGAGTAAGGGTCTCACTATTCAATGTTATTTTTTCTGTAGTACCTAGTTCTATAAAATTACGCAGTGATGTCTTCTGTTGGAATATTTGTAGTTTAATTTATGCTTTATTTTGATTGAAAGCTTCAAAATATTTTTAAAAAATAGTATTTATGTACATTATTACTTAAAATAGTGTTCGCTGTTGCACAACCAAATTGCTCCACCGTGATTTGGACCTGACTGTGTGAGATGCCTCTGTCATCTCCAAACTCCATCTCTGGCTGCCTGTGAAGCTGATGAAAAATTCAGATCCTTTTTGTCCCTAGAGCTCTAACTGTGAGGTCCCAGCACTCTGCAGGATGAAGCGCTTACTGAGCTGGAGGACATGATGGAAGGCTCTCCAAAACGGGTTCTTGGTATAGTGAGGTGTAGAGACAGATACCTTATCTTTCCTATTTCTGTTTCTATAGCTTAAATAACTTTTTTTCTGGTTACAGTTAGATTTTTTTTTTCTTCCCTACTGAGCACTTCCTCAAATTTTTCCTGAGATTTTCCAATTTAACATGTCCTGCAGACAACATGAAAGCTTTAGGGTATTTCTTAATCATAAGTATTTTTTTCATCTACAGTGTGACATTTGTATGTGTACTATTTCTGTGTTTGAAGACCCAGTGGATATGCCTTGTGGACATGACTTCTGCAGAGCATGCTGGGAGGCGTGAGTATATGTACTATGCCATCTTTTGAGAAACTTTTACTTGCCATTTTGAAGAAGAAACCACAGAGATGATAGACAGCTAATATTAAAGTTTGTTTGGGTTTCAAAGAGGTCCTGGCTTGACCCTATGGAACATTTAAGTTGTCACTGAAAGTGGCCATCAACTGTTTTAGGTGTGCATAATGTTTCCTTTGGTCCTGATTCAGCAAAACTCTTAAGCAAATGTTTCAAGCCTGTGAGTAAATAGATGAGCCTACTCTTGATTTGCTCAGGGAGTGTGTGGTGTTGGCGGTGCTGGGGTTTACACTTTCTAAATTAAGCACATGGTTAATTCCATCTCTTCGTTTAGGACACTGAACTTAGCCATTGTAAATCCATTTCCAGTCAGAAAAGCATTTAAAATACTTTCTTATGTTGAGGGTTAATAACAGAGGAGTAGATTTAGCTTAAAAGTTCTATTAGTGTAATGCTCTTGTTACTAAACAATTTTTTTTTAAGTCAAAATAGTAAAGCTAGTAAAAAACTCAGACATGGATAATTATGCTAGTATAAATATTAATCATACTTCCCAGGAATAATAATACCTGTATTAGTAATAATAATACCAGTGCCCTTATATTCATCTTTGTCCCCATTCAGGACACTGTATTGGTGCAGTTCAAATACTACAGTGTCTTGTTACAGTGTTGCATCAGCACACTAGTCCTGCTGCAGATCAGCCCAGTTAATATGAACCCATTCCTCCTGTGTTACACAAGAGCACTTTCTTTCTGCGGGAGCTTTTAGAAGGCGATTCTTTTCAGTGGCCAAAAAACGAATAGCCATGCTTCTGTTGTCTTGCAGATTGTTACGCAAGGATGTAAAAGTTGCCAAGAGATCACTGGCTTGACATGGTGCTTCTAATTTGGGTGCTGGACTGTGTGTACCGCGATCTGTGCCGGCACTCAGAGCTACAGTTCAATGTCAAGCAAGCGTTGGCAGTGGCACATCTAGGGTGGGATTCATCTTTCTAAACCAGTCATTTCTGAGTTGCTCGGAGCATAGCCAGGACTGAGTTATCCCATTCTGAGATACGAATCTGAGATGGGATGCATTGGCAAGTCTCTCAGTCTTAACTATTAAAGGATCCCAGGTGACTTAGAATAGCTGCCTGTCCTTTAGATGATTAAAGTTAGATGAGTATTGTCCTTCATGTCAGATTAATAAATAAGTAACAGCTTTTAAACTAAGCAACCTTTTGCACTGTGAGTTAAAAAGTTCAGCTTTCAGCAGATTTCTGAGCTTGTTCTGCCTTCTGCATTCTAGTGCTTAGGCACTTTAAAGGTCTCTGTTTAGAAATTTGTTTCTAAGAGCAGACCTATTTTGACTAGAACAGTTGTAAAAATTAATTCCATATCAAATTAATTATTTCCTGGATTAATTACAGTTACATGTTCTGTTTCTGATTTGTTAGAAGTAATGCTCAGTTTAATTAAACATTGCATAGCTGTCTCTGATAAATGGCAAGGATGGAAACCGCAAACAAGTAGGTCTAAGCATAGCTGATGGTACTCACTTTTGAACTGTGACAGTGTTCTTTAATTTTTTTAAAAATTTTGCTGTTCATCAGCTCTGTTCCTTTTGAGCAGAAAGAGATACTTCCTTTGTTTAAAGATTGATTAATGTGAATATCTGTGAACCTAGTATAAAGTATTCAGCAGCCTTTTAATTTTGACTTTTTATTCACAAATGCTGACTGACGAAATTCTGGCAGATTTTTGAATCTGAAAATTCAGGAGGGTGAAGCTCACAACATTTTTTGCCCAGCATATGATTGTTTCCAGCTTGTGCCTGTAGACATCATAGAAAGTGTGGTTTCTAAGGAGATGGACAAAAGATACCTTCAATTTGACATTAAGGTAAATTATCAAATTTCCTGTACTCTTGAACTGTATTTCATTTTATAAAAAATTACTTACGACTTCTGTGTGAAATGCTGCAATATATCTGTAACTTTCCAAGTAGAAATCCATAAATTAATATGTACACTGAATTACTGTCTCTTATGTGCCATAATACCAATATTTGATATACCACTGAGAAAAAACAGAACATTATATTTATTCCTTAAGCACACATCCAGTACTTCCGTAATGTGTAACCTAGTGGAGTATTACTAAAACTGTTTTATCCAGCCAGTGTTCATAACAGGTGATATGAAGCTTTTAATCAGCCAGGCTTGTTTGTGTTGGCAATCTAAAATTTTTAAGAGATTTCTGATTATTTTAATTACCAAGATGCTTTCAAATAGTACCTGTTCCCATTCTAAAAATTTAGCAGTACAAATGAATTACTTAATTTTTTTCCATCCAATGCTTGATATGACTGCTATATATAGGTTTGATTTGCTTTTCCTATTTTATTTCTTTTCTGTGTTTATTTCCATCATTGCAACTTGTTTTTAAAAGCAATCTTTTAATTCCCCTTTTTTCTTTTATACTAGTGTAGTAATGAACTAGTCTTTGAGATAATGTGCTACTTTATCAGTGGTGGCAGGGCAAAAGAAAGAAGAAAAATATTTTTTTGTTTACAATACAATGTGTGACAAGTCTCTTTAATACACAGTAATAGAGTCTTACACAGTAAGATACAACTGAAATCACCAGATCTGGTTAATCTTTTGCATCTTCATATTTCAAGTGGCTGGTGGTCAGCATAGGTTTGAAGCAAGTAGTGAAAGTTCCTTTTCCCCCTCATTTCTTAGATGTAGTTTTACAAAGACGACCTGCTACATTAACTAAAAAAGATTGGAGGTAAATTCCCGACTTAGTCTAGTTCTGATACCAAGTTTATTGTGGGTAGGATATATTGTGGGATTTTTGTTTTAATCAACAAGGTTTTATTTTTTTTCAGTTACAAGAGTCAGTTCTGTTAACGAGTGTAGTGCCAGTGCATATATAGTAGAAGTTTATAGTAAGCCATATCACAAAGGAATTTACTTGCACACATGGACCATTTTGTTTGGGATCTAAGTCATTTGCATCTTAGCATAGGTCTGAAGTGCTGTTGTTGCAAAAAAATTAATTAACGTGGAGATTAAATTACTTCCTTTTTATAACTATTTTAAAAAGCCTATCAAAGTAGCTATAAGATTTTCCCTATGCTTTTTGGCTTTGTTCCTTCACCGGAAGATTATAAATACAGTTTGATTTATATCAGTGATGAAATCTGATCTTATGTAGTAAAATATTTTCCTTTTTTTTCCCCAGGCCTTTGTTGAAAATAATCCTGCTATTAAATGGTGTCCTATACCAGGCTGTGAAAGAGCAGTAAGGCTAACAAGACAAGGATCAAATTCAACAGGATCAGATACACTTAGCTTCCCTATGCTAAAAGCCCCTGCTGTAGATTGTGGAAAAGGACATCTTTTCTGCTGGTTAGTACTAGACATGTATCTACATCTACATAAACTCACAGTCGCTGCTACTCCAGGGATTAATTAAAAAGCCCCACTTAACACCAAGCGTGCAATAAAAATTTGAATGGGATGTTGTATGACTGTACTGTCTGTCCTGTATCCATTCACTAAGTAACCTGATGTGCAAAAATATTGTAGTATTTTAGGGCACAGCAAAGGTTTATAATACTGTCTTGCTCGTTACTGGCTCTGTTAGATGCAAAACAGTGGTACAGAGCATTGTGATGTTCTGTTCTGAGGGGACAGAGAACCGGGATATTGGTGGAGGGGTTTTTGTGTCTGATCTGAATAGTTGTAGTCTAATTGAAACATGGCACATTCTGAATTGTAGCACAGAAAATCAGCAAATTTTAGGTCTCTGTGAATTTTGGTAGGATCACATCAAAGAAGCTGGAGTTTAAACAGGTTTGTGAAGGACCTTTTGCTTCATACACAGCTATTCTGTTTGCAGGATCACACATATTTCACTTTAGGATCAGCACTTTTCCTTTATTTTTACTTTCTGTTGAGTCTTGAATACAAGCTTGAGAAGCAGTAAAAAGCCGTAAGATATTTAAAAACATCCCTCAGATTGCCAATCTTCAGCACTTGCCAGGAAAAGACAACGGTATCAACAAAAGCAAAAAAGTGGCGGGATATTTTTCTGAAGCACAGAGCAAAGCGTTATCCGAGTTCCTTGAGATTATCAGACTGACAGTTTAGGGCTATTGTACCAGGATATCCTTTTCATTGTTGAAAAATCAAAAAGGATCAACCAAAGCATAGACATTCAGACAAGCTGAGTAATCCTTCTTTTCATTTTTCAATTGAAACCATGACGCAAGAAGATGCTGAATAAGATTCCAAATATTGTAAGACCTAATGAAAGATGCTTCTTATTTTAGTTCTTTCCGTATATGATTGGAAAGGAAGAATCAACAAGAGGAAAGTAGACATAATGAAACAACCACGAAAACAAGAAAACAGAACTTCTTGGGAAGAGGTTGTTCACAATGGATGGAGAACTCGGAAAGAAACAAATCTTGTGAAAACAAACCAGAAAATGTTTTTTACCCGTGAACATATAACAAACCTTAGTACTATTCCACAAGAAGGTGCCATCATCCTTGCTTCTGATTACAGACAGAGAATCAATTTTTTGCTTAACCTGAAGGACAGAGCTTGATAATATTTCTGAATGTTCTTTTTATGTTAATGCCTTTGAGATACTGCATGTGCAGATATGGTTAAGGTCTTGAAAAAGACATCATTCCAGCAGCAAAATGTTCAAGACCACCTTTCCAAGGCCTTTTTTTCATCCCCACAGAAGTGAAGACGTTCAGCAATGGCAGAAAAGTTCTGCTAGCAGCCAAAGCACCCTGCAGTGGTATAAATCAGAACTATTTGCTGAGGACAGCCATACCAGTCTTACAGTACATAAACCCCACACATGTGTGAGTTCCTCTGGAGAAAAAGAAAGTGTATTCTCAGTTCAGAGGGTTCTCATTGTTACTGTATGCTTAAAGGGAGCTTGCTTTATATCTTTACAGTTCAATCAACACATCCCACAGTTCCATACTTAATGTCAGTTCTGCAGGTTTTACCCAGGTAATCTACAGTTTAGGCATTGTTAAAGCAACTGATACTGCATTAGGAACTAAATGCTACTTTAGTAGCACTTCATTAAAAATACACAAATTTACATATCAGAAGACATCAAAGACACAATCTCTACCACCCCCCCAGTAATAGATTGATTAATCAGCTTTTAACTTAAAACTGAGTTTGTTAAATTTGATTTTTGTTCATTTCAGTCCTTTCTAGGAACAAATACGGTGTGAGAGGTCTTGGCTCTCTTGAAGTCAATGGTTTAAATGTACTGCTGTCCCACAGAAGTGAGAGGTGTTGCTTTTCAACCAGGACTGAGATTGCCTTATTACAGACTAGTTACTCATTCCAGTACAGTCTTTCCCAGATATAGATCTTAAGTATCTCCAGACCAGAGATTCCTGTGTAATGGATTTAAGCTTGCTCAATACCAGACTAGCTAGTGGGGAAAAAAATTTGAAAACTGTTGCTGTAACCTTCCTGCTTAAGACGTGGACAAGAGTGATCAGAAGTGTACTGATGTAGCTTCCCAGTCTGCACCGCAGAGAGCATTTCACCATAGGATCAGCAGACAAACTTGTGAATGCTCTGATAGAGCGGGTGCCCATCTGAAATACACTTCCTCTGAATTGTTTTGTTTGATCTGCCAGATGTCTGAAGCTATTTGCTACCATTGCAGTAAAAAAGGGAGTCATTACAAATCCGGAGTCCATATCGACACATCTACACCCAAGCACCATCTGGAAGCCATATATCTGCCACTGTCTAGTAGTGATTGTCATCCTTAAAGCTAGTAGTAACTTCCAGAGAAGCTCAAGGGACTCATTTCTTCACTGTGTTCATGTAACTAAGTTAAAGCCACCATTTAAGAAACTCTGGTGGAAAGAGTAAACATGCATAAATAATTAATGCTGGTGTTGAAGGGCTTGGATCTTGTTCTAGATTAAAAGCTTGAATATAGTTAAAGAATAATTATTACAACTGAATAGATGCAAATGATTCTACATAAAATGCATTTCAGCTATAGCAGACTATCTAGTTTTGGGTAATCTCCTTATTCTGGTTTATCTTTATCACAGAAACTATACTAGCACTTTTTGTGGCACTAAAATAGTACCCAGGTGAAACTGAAACAAACTGCAAACCAGTTGATTTATTCCAGGTTGTAATTTTAAAAGCGTCTTTTCCCTTCCTGTCTCATTGAAATTCTTTATTAATCTTAAAAATGATCATCTGTGCTTCTGAGCAAGTAGTCTAAGAACATTTTAAAATAATGTTAATTGGATGACTTTTTATCTTCCTGGCTTAATTAAAATTTGAGTGTGTCTTGATAAGTTTCCATGTTTTTTAGCTTGAACCAATTTTAACTTTAATTCTAAATCTCTAAATGATGTTTTGTGTATACATCTTCATTTTCAGGGAATGTCTTGGTGAAGCACATGAACCTTGTGACTGCCAAACCTGGAAGGACTGGCTACAGAAAATATCTGAAATGAAACCAGAAGAACGTAAGAGTCATGCCGGGGCGGGGGTGGAGGGAGGGGTGGGGAGGTTTGTTGTCGTTGTTAACTTCTGATATTTGAGGAATTTTTTAGTTGCGTTTTCTAAAAATTCTACATTGATTGAAAAGTAGGGTAAAAGGAAAGAAAATTAAACCCCTGAAAGAGGGGCTGCTTCATACTTTAACTGCATATGAGGCAGCACTAATGATAGACTGTTCTCCTTAAAGCATTCCTCCCCATAAATCCACATGTCGTTCAGTCAGGGTATACAAAATCCTTTTCCTTTCCTCTGACAGATTTCTTTCATTAATTTATTGATGTATTCCTGAATATAATTCAACCCAACTGGTGATAATAATAGTAAGGTTGAGGGTGAACTGCAAGGGAATTGTGAGGAATGGCTTAATCATAAATAACTTCTACTGAAAAAAAAATAAAGGTTAGACAGACATTTTCCTGGTCAACAGAAAGAAAAATTAAAGATTAACAGCAATTTGAATAAATACCAAATTAACTTGGTTACCACAGTTCAGAGCCTTTCCATAATATGTTATAAATATCCTGGAAGGCATGGAAGATTTTATAAAGAGGCAAAATAAGCTATACTTCGTCAAACTATGCCAATTTTTCTCATATATGACAGAATCATAGAATGGTTTGGGTTGGAAGGGACCTTAAAGATCATCTAGTTCCAACCCCCCTGCCATGGGCAGGGACACCTTCCACTAGACCAGGTTGCTCAAAGCCTCATCCAGCCTGGCCTTGAACACTTCCAGGGATGGGGCATCCACAGCTTCTCTGGGCAACCTGTTCCAGTGCCTCACCACTCCCTCCGTGAAGAATTTCTTCCTTATATCCAATCTAACTCATTCATGTATTATAAATGTCATGCATAATATACATAATTTATAGCTAAATATATGTGTGGAAATACATAGAAATAGTATGTTTAATAATATTATAGTTATAATATGTATAAATTAGAAAATGTGTGTAATTATTTGTATGATAAATATATATTGTGAAGTGTTACGTTATTCTGTCAAGAAACAGGTAAACCTACATCTTACCTAATCTGATTTTCACAAAATATTACACAAGTACAATTTCAACTTCCCGCTTTTTGCATGCTCCATATCCCCTGTCACCCTCAAAAAGTTGTGGGAGTGAGTGAGGCGTATGAAGATGCTGCCAACTGCCTGTGGTTACTAACAAACTCTAAACCATGCGCCAACTGCAAATCTCCAATTCAGAAGAATGAGGGCTGCAACCACATGCAATGTGCTAAGGTAAGAAAGACCCTTCCTGTAATTTGTTGTGAAACCATAATTCAGGTTGTGGAATGTCATACACGTGTTTTAGGAGCACGGATGTCCAAAACCTCTGGAAGGTCATGCCTGAGATCTAATGGAGCTCATTGCAAGAATTAGATACTTGACAAGTGGTGGGTTACATGTATTTAGAAGATGTTTCATATTTAATGAAATCTGTTTGGCTGGCAAGTGAACACTGTAATGACTGACATTTCATAAACCCCTAAGAATTACTGGCAATACAGTATGAAACTTAAGAAAACAGAAATAATTGATAGTTTGATTATCATTAGTAATGTAGAAGAGAGAGAATATTTTTAGTTGGCAGAAAATGAAACATTTTAAGGAATGTTAAGCTCTGATGAAGGTTTTGCTTTACTACTTTTTTCTTTTGCATTATTTCTCTCACATAGCAACAAAACAGAGAAGTTTAAACAAAAAACTGTAAAGAGGAATTAATCAGTAGGAATGCAAAGACAGCAAAGAGTAATGCCAAAAGAAACTTACTGGTGAGAGCAGCCAAAAAACTAGTCATGACTTTGCCCTACACTACCAAATTAGAAAAAATATTTTTTGCCATGAGTTCAGGATCATTTGAGAATGCTTTTTCTCTCAAATTAGTTAAATGCAGCATATTTAGAATGCTGTTTCTTTATGTCAGAAATGTCTTATATAACTACAGCTAATACCGCTTTGAGGAGCATTATTAAAGACAAGAAAGTAGCACACACTTTACATAGTTGGCCTCCAATAAAAAGCTAGGAGATTCAGAAAGTAATTATCTTTAATTTTTGGGAAATGTGTTAGTCTCTCTCCATTGCTATGCAGATCCCATTTCCTTTATGTTATCGTCACATACTCACTCTCTTTCTGTGATAAGAATTGAAGGTTGGGGCTTTTTTTGGTGTCGTTTCTTTGTTTTGGTCTGTGGCAGCAGAGAACAGATTCTCCTACACTTTGGTTTATGCCGCATTTGCTGTTGTTTTGGGTTTTGTGGGGTTTTTTTCTTAAATGATTTTTAAAATAGCTCATAAATTCCATAATGCTGAAAACTGTAAAAGGTGTGCTTGATGCAGCTTTTGCTACTGAGCTCATTTCAATCAAAAAAAGTATGGCTTCAGGCTGGAGAAGCCTTTGGCCATTAAACACTATTGAATGTAGATAATTGAATTCATTACCATTTTGAGGCACTGGCTGACAACCACAGTTCTCTTTTCTTCTCTGATGCTTGTACCTTATAAACAGCTTAAAGTGTCCATATAACAGTTGGATTCTTTTTGTGCTGAAGAAGTCCCTGCAGGCGGAAGCTGCCTCTCCTCATCATCGTGATGAAAAGAAAGTCAGGGTATTCCCAAGCTCATTGCAGGGCTCAGGCACAATGTATAGTGGTCACCTTGTTTGTGTCTTCCTCCACGGACGTTAGGGTCCATGACAGTGTCTGCCTTTGCTGCAGTGAGGTCTGCCTAAGCCCATTACATGGTGAGCTACGACTGCCACTCAGCAGCTAGTATGTACCTTGGTGTAGAGGAGGATACTCTTTACACATAAAATAACATTAAGCAGGCTTTTTACCATTTTATGAGTCCAGTTTCTAAGTAGACAAGGCTAGGCAGTCCTGCTCTCTCACTCCCCTACCTGTAGTAGTTCTTTAACCTTCTGGGTACTTTGAACCAGATACAAAAGGAGGGGGTTTATGGATATTACACTACTCCAAATTTCTTGAAACTTGGTTGCTGTATGGTGTAGAGACTTAATTTGTACTGCCACTGAGAGAGGCTGAAATAGCTGCTCAGCAATTACCTGCTCAGCAATTACCTCTTCTGCCTGGCTCAGACAGTGGTCGGAGAGATGTGATTTGTTAAGCCTGGGCAGCGCTGCTGCATGGCGAGGTGATCATAAAGGCACATAAAACACAGCTCAGGGTTTTGGGAGATGTGTAGAAACAGGTGATGTGGGTTTGAATGTTTAAGTATACTGAGGTATTGCAGGAGGGTCTGGGAGCAATGGGTGGGTCTTGGGTTTTTGAGGAGGCTTTTGGAGTTGTAAGACATTATAAGACATATAATGGAGTGGTCCTGGAGGACATGATTTAGGAGAGGTGAGATTATGGCAGCAGGAGCATATACACATAAATTAACAGGAAGTACAGCTTTATTAGTTCTGTTGCTTGTGAAACAGCTTGTTTCATACTGGTTTTGATTATTTTGTAGTTCTTTCTTATAGTGAATATGAGTGGTTTTGAATGATAGGCAAATGGTGCAGTGATACGCACTTAACTCTCTCATACGCAATTATACTCCATTGTCAGCACTCATCTTACCATTTTGTATAAGCAAGCAGCTTCAAAAAATGTTTAAGAACACAGAATGTGCAGCACAATAGCAAGAAGAAATGTCCTAGCCTGCATTGCTTTTTAGAAGAAAATCTTCATCTCGCCAGTACTGCCATTAGCAGAAGTACAGTGCAAGAATTACATTTCATTTCTTCCTCTAATATAACTAATTGATTCTATGAAACAACTGCCAATAAACACATCTGGTATGGACTAGGTATTCCTTGAAAGGGTAAACTTATCAAAGAGAGAAAAGATGATACTTAATTAATCAAATTCCAGTAATAATATTAATGGATTTATATTGATTAATTCTTTTTTTTTTTTCATTTTTCAGGATTTTTCTTTGATCATCTGTAAAACAGATAAAATAAACAGGGTTCACCAAGTAGTAAAATCTTTTACCCATTCATCCATAAATAGCTTCCAATTGTTTTGAAATAAACTAGATGAGAATTCAGTGCTGAGTTGAGTATACAGTTTGATCTGATGCAGAGAAGCCTGGATAAGTCAGATCTCCTTGTAAGGTGTTCCCTATTTTGAAAGCTCTCTGCTCAGTTGATGCAGAAAAGGCTCACCTTGAACTAATCACTCTTCAAAGTTTATGTTCTGTTTTCTTCTCTCTTGCTGTAGTAGTTATTAGTATTTTGCATCAGGAACTCCACATGACAAAGATAACAGTAATCGTGTTTTTTTAAGTGATACTAGGAAAAAATTCACTCTTTCTCATGAACAGTTTCTCTGTCACTTAAAAAATAGGACTGTCTTTTTTTAAAAAAATAACAAAAAACCCAGGCCTCATCAGCTGTATTTATCATTTAATTTATTTCATCCATTTAACACTTGTAGATCCAACATAATCTTGTGGTCCAAGGAACAAAACTTATGACTGACACTGTTTGATAATCCAGATCCTCTGTAGCAGGTAAAATAAGAAGGAGGCTCCCCCAAAATTTATTTGACCATAAGCACACCCAGAATTATGTTAATTTAGTGGTTCATGGAAGAATAATGATGCATAACTGTAAATGTACGATGTTATCTACTTTCTTCTTTTTTCCCCTTGTTTCTTTGTTTCCTGCAGTGCAAATACGACTTCTGCTGGATATGCTTAGAAGAATGGAAGAAGCACAGCTCTTCCACTGGAGGCTACTACAGATGCACTCGTTATGAGGTTATTCAGCATGTGGAGGAACAGTCCAAGGAGATGACAGTAGAGGTAACAAATGAAAGTGTGTGTTTGAAGAATAGTCCTAAGGCTGCACTTTTCTGCTTAGGATAAGTTTCGTCAAAATTCTTTCAAACACGAGTTCTGAATGGAAAATACAACCTTAAATACATCAAAGACTCTGAAAGAAAACACTGCTTATTTATGGATGGAAACAGAAGATTTGGTTCTGCTTTTGGCTTTGGTAAAAACCATTGGTGACCTTACTCAAGTCATTTCTCTCTGCCATGGTCTTTTGGGAAATGGGTGTGCTGGTACTGTACTTAGCTGCACTACAGAAGACATACCTTAATTCTGGCATTTTGAAAGTCTGCTTAAGTAGCATGCACACACAGTGTATCAACTCTGTGGCTAGTGAATTTCAAAAATTACATCTGTCTCTTTACCTACATGGCACTCCTCAGCATTGTGTACAATACTGTATGTATAGCGGGAATAGAAACAGTTGGTTACCTAGTTATATCTGATGTGTGATTGCTAAATTAAATCATAGGATTTATCTTGGTTTCTTTTGTTTCCCCATTATTTTCCAGGCTGAAAAGAAACATAGAAGATTTCAAGAGCTTGATAGGTTTATGCACTATTACACAAGATTTAAGAACCATGAACTTAGCTACCAGGTGTGGGTCAAGCAATTTTATTGATTTTAGTTTCTATTTTATTACTAAAAAAATAATGATTTTATTGCATTTTATCTGTTTTCCTTTTCTAGTTAGAACAGCGCCTTCTAAAAACAGCCAAAGAAAAGATGGAGCAGCTGAGTAGAGCTCTTAGTGGAAGTAAGTATTTGCTGTGATCTACAAATTAAATCAACGCTGTTATGGCTAAACCTTTTTTTTTGGTTTTTTTGGATAGGGTTGACATCAGTGTGTTGTGTGGTGTGATCCCTCCAGAACTAGAATTCATAAGCATTGGATGAAATCTAAATGTACAGTCAAAAGACTCAGGGAGAAAGTAGCATTAGTCACGGAGAAGCTAATACTCTGTGCTTACTTCTTTTAGTAAGAACAGTGTGTAGCCCTTTGGAACCTGCTGCTGTTTACTTGCAAAATATTTAACTGACATGCACATAAATTTTATTTTGGAGGAA